CGTGTGATATAATGTTAACTAACTTTACATACACTTCACTACAAATCGTGTGATATAACGTTAACTAACTTTACATACACTTCACTACAAATCGTGTGATATAACGTTAACTAACTTTACATACTAAATACAAAGAACTAAAGTTCATGTTGTATAAAGGTGATTATGAATACCTTGTTTGCAGAAGAGTGGGACCAAAAACAATCCCAAGGTTACTGGGAGGCATGTTGTTGTCCTCAGCATGTTCTGCCACTCTAAATGAAGAACAATCAATAGGCTTAGGACAAAATAAATTTTCTTTATAAATTAATATTAGACGTCTAAGATCAAGACTCGTGATATGAGTTCAAATCATCATTAAAATATATATATGTATATATATTTTTTTCTCAATTTCCAAGCATATCATTAATTACATTTATAATGTAAAACACAGAATATAAAAAGTTCACAGCTTTGAAACAGTGATAGTTGTTTTTTCTCTCCATATAATAACTTATCACATTTTTAGGAAGACTTAGTATTGTATTAAGAATTACAAAGTAAGACTATTTTGGTTTGATAAGAATATTTCACTAAGATCCAACTGATATCAAAATTGTGAAAGAAACATCAGCTCTGAAACAGACTGAAACCTTTCTTGTGGCAGATAAGTAAATCAATCAAATTTTATGTCAAGGCTTGGAATTCAATTAACAAGTTTATTTTGCTTCTAATGGCAGATGTTTAATAATCAATATTTCTACTTCCCATTGTTAGACAATTTTACTTTATCCTAAAAAACTAACAGTTACAACTATCACATTTTTTTTGCCCTTGCTTCACTAATTCCCTTCTTGTTATCTTTCCACTGATCTTTCATATTTTACCTACAGATATAAAGTGTGTTTTAAAATACAATCCCTCATCCATGTCATGGAGCATGGTAATGGTTGAAGCAGGGGATTCAAGTTAGTCTGATAGGATAAAGTACGATGGGGATATTATGAACCCTGTGGCCATTACAATAACTCTGAAGGCCTATCAACAACCCGAAAATGAAGTATTTAACAGGACTAGCAAGCTGGGGTCTAATATATATATTGCTAAAAATACATGCAGCTGCCAAGGAAACACACAAGGACATGGGTGTGAAGGACATGTTGGTGGAAAACACAGCTGAGATAATATGGAAAAGTCTTGAATGACATTATAAAAAATGATGGATAGGGAACATAGGAGATGCAGCAGGAGAACCATGCTGAGTGAAGTAGATAAGGAGAGGCTCTATGAATACAGGTGCAGTGGGACAGTTTTCTACATAGACAGGTCCTAACCAAATGTTGGATGATGATTTTAAGATGTTTTTAAACGTTTTTCTAATTGATTGTTTACATGATTTTCTTCCTTGATTTTTTATTTATTATTATTACTGTTTTAGTTATACTATTGCATTCTCAGTTCTTTGTAGAAATTAATAATATCTGTTAATCAAAGGAACTTTTTCTTTATTATAAAACAAACCTTTTTAAATGATGCATAAGGTAAGCCAAGGTTTTAAAATGTACTCGAGGTAATCGCTGCACTAAACAACATAGCTCCTCAACGGCACTGTCGGTGTCAGATAACTCATCCTTCTTTGATGGATAATCCTAAAAGCAAAAATCTCATTAGTTTGATGACTATGCCTATCTTTAGAAAAACACTTGGACTTCACACACATAACATTAATGGACCTAAGCATTTCAACCTTTCAGTTACTTGAAATATACTGTAATTTGAACTTTCTTTGACAACTTAGATATTAATCATTACATAAATTTAATACAATAATACTACCAAACATCTACAGTCCAAAACAGTATACAATAATACTAACAAACAGTCCAAAACTGAATACAATAATACTAACAAACATCTGCAGTCCAAACTGTATACAATAATACTAACAAACACCTACAGTCCAAACTGTAAGATGTTTGTTAGTATTATTGTAACAGTCCAAAACTGTA